TAGTAAGGCACCTGTTACTAGTAGCGTGGCACTTGTTACTACTAGCTTATTGTTTCCAATAGCTTCTTGTTACTACTAGTAAGGCACTTGTTACTAGAAGCGATGCACTTGTTCCTAGTAGCTTCTTGTTACTAGTAAAGATTATGCAGTTCTGGGGTCTCCCGGTTGAAACCTCGACCCCGCGTATAGGTCTCCTCTCCATGGATTTGAGGGTGGATGCGCGTTCCGCTTTTGGTGGAAGCATGTGGGTCACACAGGGGAGCCAATCCGTCCCGTTTGTGGCAAGCCATGGGTGTGTCTCAGCTCTCAGCATGATGGTGCCGGCATAACCATATATATGTATTAGTAAATTAGTAACAGTAATACTACAAACCACAATTGAGATGGGTGTCCATAGGTGTCCCTTCATTGTGAAACCCCTTCGAGTTGCTCTTGCAAACTCTCCAACCTCAGGAGAATCTCCGCGACCGAGCCCCACGCGGTCCTCCTACGCTGGGAGCCAAGCAGCGAGCCAGCAGGATTCACCGACGGTCTTGAGGGCTGTGGCCTACCCAGTCGATATGTTTTAACCTTTTTTGGGCGTTGGTTTCCCCACTAAGACAAACAGGTGAAAATGGGTCAACCTTTATGTTCCAGGGGAATTTGATGGATTTGGTCGCAGTGCGCCAAGGCAGACCTGTTTGGTTGAGGTATTTTGTGTCTTGAAGGTTGGTGACTCATGGAGAAGGTGGTGGATGTTCTGAGTTGTAAGAAGGGAAACTGAGAGAGCCTGGATGTTTCAAGTCAAAACGTTTGAACTCTTTCAACATGGATCAGTTCGACTGGTTCTACTCTTCTTATGGGTGTTTCTTGCCGAGTGATCTGAGTGATCGTCATCCAGGCCCGGGCAGCTGCTCCACCGCGCCTTGATCGCCAAGGCGAGGTCCCGTCCGGATCCCAAAACGGATCGACCAAAACGGTCAGACTCGTGCGACTCGTAGGGAATCAGGGAATGAACCACCCCTGCAGATACCTCAGGGTCCATTCCCTTATTCCTTACGAAGCACCAGTCAGGTAAGGGGCATCTAGAGGGCCTAGGGTTGTGGGTCATGGCACCCGGATACAAGCAGTTAACCTCCCTGCTTCCAGGTCAAGCTACATTGTGGACCAGGGCTTCAAATGGTGGCCCATCCCGATGTATATAATATGATCTATATGTTCCCCTGTTCAGTATATGTTGGATCTTTTTGTGTTGATTTCTTACTGTGTGTATGTGTGTGTGCGCGGTGATTTTTGTCCTGTTTATTGTTGCGCAAGGGATCACCGATTTGCTGGTGAAGCATCTTGTGGACTGCATTGCTCGGACACCTCTATGTCTACCCCCTGGAATTTCTCTATAGGAAGAGGTTTTCTGTATCATCACTGCCTGCCCCCCTCAGGGTTCTTATGCTTCACATTCTTTTGTTCCATGGACAGAGGGCATGAGGATGGCCTGGTGACTTGGTGGTTGAAGATGGCAAAGGTTTTTGATGCCAATGGCTGGTGTCAGATGTTGGGAAAGATCCTGGCTGACTTACTTCCACTGCCGGACTAAGTATCCAAGCTTGTTGCGATTGCAAGCCGTTTTCACAGGAGAACTCGTCAGAAGACGTGCTTCGCATTGCAGAAGAGAACATGAACGAGCTGCGGCTGCGATTGGATCCACACTGGGCCGGCCTTTGGGAAAACCCAACAACTTGAAACCCTCTTCGTAGTGGGCCAGATCACATGTAGTCACCAAGTGAGTGAACATATTGACATGGGATTTGGGGGCAGAAAACACCGCAACAAGATTCAACATCTTTGCCTTTTAACCTGCTGGTTGCTGTAGATCTTAGCCAGGCCCCTCATGCAGCCGGCATGAAAGCGCGATCGCCCCTTGTCATCTGGGATCCGTTCGCCCACTTTCAAGCAGAAAAAAACGAGAAAGATCAGAAACGGAACGGCCTCGGTGTACGAGTTCCTTCTTCTCGGTTCCGGAGCGCCATGATGCGCCATGTGCGCCCCCAGACCTGATGAGGATCGGTTGGTTTCTGATTCTCAAAGGACTCAACAAACCGCTGAAGAGCGATGCATCGCTGCATTTGCCGTCTGCGGGCCCATGTGTTCTGCCCCACTTCTTTCTAGTGACCTGGTGGCTGGGGACCGGTTTCAGAACAGGAAGGAGCTATACTTCAAACTGTTTGGGGATCATGGCTTTTGAACAGGCAAAGCAAGAACTGCAAAGCTGGTTGATTCGTTGGAAGAGATCTGTTGAATGAGATGTGTTCTGTGTTTGAATCCGGTTGCTTTGGGTGACTTCTGGCTTTTAGTGACACAGATTTGAATTTCAGCGGGTTACTAGTAGTAGTGTCCAAGCATGTCCAGGCCGTCAAGATCATCAGATTCCACGCTGTCCTGGAAACTGGCTACAGCTTGCCCTCCAAAAATGAATCCACCCTCCCCGTCCCACCCGCATCTTTCGGCTCAGAGCTCTTGTTTCGCTGAGGAGCTGGACGCCAACAGCTGTGCCACGGCCATCCACAAGGCGTGATGCGGTCGGACGGACAGGACCGGCGAGGAGCTGCGGAGTTCGAAGCGAATGGAAGATTTGGAGGGTCCAAGGCTGAGGTGGAAACCTTGACGTGTTCTCGAAAGATGTATTCTATATAAGTCGCGAAAGTCGGTTGTCTGAGTAGTAATGTCTTGGGATGACTGAGGCTTCAGCGTCCAGCGATTAAACAAATAAGGAACTGTCATTACGGTCAGGGCTTGTGAAACTGGAAAGGGAAATCATCAGAAGGAACCAATCAACCATGATGAATCACTGATGTGATTGGGGATGCATTGCTATTTGGTTGGAGGCCATCGCTAGTAGGTTGGAGGCCATCGCTAGTAGGTTG